TCCTACTATATATATATATATATATATATATATAAACACACTCAAAAAAAACTGCATAGGCCCCACTTGCTCACAATTACATATGAGCCCAACGACCTAGATTCAATCAAGGCCAATCTGACGGTCACGATCTTATTTCATATTTTAATTTTAGTTTTTTTCTACTAGTCCAAATCACATGAAATTTTTTAGTGGTCTATAATTCTCATCAAGGTGAATCAAATAAAATATTTAAAAATAATCCACAATAAATAAATTAATCAAAAAACCCATGTAAATTTTTGGGGGTATTTTAGTCTATTTATTTCTTACAAATTATTTTTTTTGATATTTTTGTTAGATTATCATATTTTTGAAGAACACATAACCAAATTTTCAAGTGATTTAGATTTAGAGAAAAAAAATTAAAATAAAACTACAAAATAGGATCGTGGCCGTAGGCGAAAATGAACAGTGATTAGGCCTACCCTTATCACCATCCAAACTTCATCACACGGTCACAGTTGGCATAGATATCTAGAAAAGTACTCACATGGGTGTGGGACTTGACTTTTCTATAGATCCGTATCAAATTTAGTGGTGATCTTTTGGGGACCTGCACACATGGGTGGGGGAGGGTCCTAAGATCATCTCTCTCTCTCTCTCTCTATATATATATATATATATCCAGTCAGCCCATAGGATGATAGAATAGTGTAAGCCCAACAATTATGGTGACACATTTTTTAAGATAATATAAAATCTACAATGTCCAAATAAAATGAATGGGAAAAATTATTGCAACTTGACTTCTACAAATAGGGTTGCAACCTTAAATATAATTTTAGAAAAAATTTATACGTTGTTGCAATTCCGCTAGGAGTGTATGGTGCATTTGGCAAAACTCCAAATTGAAACATTTTTTGAACTCCAAAATTTAGAAATTTAACATATAAAACGTGAAAAAACACCATCAAAATTTTCAATGTGCCTCCAAACAAAAGATATCCAAAGATTTAAGAGGAGCCATCCAATTTTTTTTGAGGGCAAGATCAAGATATTCAATAACTCAAAATCTGAAGATTTTTTCGAAAATAATTATCTACTGATACGGAGATCGAACCAAATTTTAGATAAAAAAATTTCTCCCAACTAACAATTTTTCCAAATGGAATTGTTGCACAGTAATGCTCAGCGTTAGAGCATGCCCATAGTTAGCCAGTCGGGGATTATTGATAAATCAGCTCACCATGAAATCGAAAACTAATCGTTTTTATTTTAAAAAGTCGGATAAAAAAATTGGGTAAAATACTTCATGAAAAGAGATCACGAATATATCAGAAAAAATTGGAGTCAAAAAATCGGATATATTTTAATTATTTTAAATTTTAAAACTCTAAATATATATATCACTCAGTATAGAAAAATTTAATAGTAGTGAGATGTAACGCTTTCAATCTATATATATCACTTAGTATAAAAATGACCTCCCTATAAATATAAATTTCAAATATTCAATGTGATATATCTCTATATTATAATATGATTATCTATTCTATTTATCAAGATAAGTATGGGGTACGTGAATTCAATTTTCATCTTTCTAGAAAGAAATTGTCTACCCTATACTTGCTAACTATGGTCTACCCATAACCACCAGAAAAAATACGCACCACATCCATAACAGCGAACCAAGATAGAAATAAAAATTTCATAAAGCAGAAAAAAGATATTGAACTTTCAAAAAAAAGAGAAGTAAGAATATATTAATAGGAAAGATTTTTTCAAAGCGATTTTTTCAAATTTTGAAAAATCACGTTATAAACTTCTTTCTAAAAAGATGGCGTATTTTTATCGATCTATTGAAAAAGTCACATATTCAAACGTTTTTAAAAAGAAAACACGGTTTTTTTGAAAAACTAGCAATTAAATTGGCGACTTGTTGACTATGATCATGCCATACATGCTCTGTATTCGTTTTTCAATCCTTCTCATATTTTGATAAAAAATATTCTCATATGCTAATGAATGCCTGGAAAAGATAAGACTTATATCTTATTAGGTCTATAAAGTTGCAGCCTCAAACAATCCAATTGAGGCGCACCTCCAAATTTTATCATAACATGTAATTTTGGTGATATTTTTTTAGAATTATCTCGAAATCTATTTTCATATCTAATTATAAAATTTTAAACTCCAAAAATGCCTCATTTTATTTATAGTACCGAAAAATATCTGAGTTTATTTTTATTAGGAAAAAGAACCTCAATTTAGTTTTTTACTAAAAAAATACTTCAAATTATTTTTCTTTACCTAATTTTATATTTTAATTGAAAATTACGACAAATTATTTTTCTTTACCTTATTTTATTTTTTATTACCTAAAAGTACCTCAATTTATTTTTCATACGAAAAATACCTCAGTCTATTTTAATTACCTAAAAGTGTCTCAATTAATTTTTTTTGTCAAAAAATACCTCAAATTATTTTTCTTTACCTCATTTTATTTTTTATTACCGAAAATTACATCTATTTAGTTTTCAAACAAAAAATATCCCAGTTTATTTTATTTTCCTATAAGTAACTAAATTCTTTTTTCTCACCAAAAAATAGATGGTTAAAATCAAGCAAATCTATAAACATATAAATATCTTGATAATGGACGGTTTAGATAATGTATTGCAAGATGCACTATTTTTGAGATGCAAATTATATTTTTTATTTCATATTTACAACGTTGAGATGAACAATTAGAGGTTTTTTCAACATTAGAACAACCTTTTCCCAATGGATTTTTGAGAGGCATATGTAATTCTACATTTTAAAGAACTTATATAAACTATTTCCGTCTTATTAAGCTCATTTTCCAAAGTAGTTATGACTCATATCGGTATCGGTAGAAAGGGAACTAAATACTCTCTCCTATTCATCTCCAACCACCATTACCCTTGTATAACTCAAAAAGAGGATCCCCACTCATAATGCCCTAAACTTCCACCAACAAATCTAACGCACGAAAAACCACCTGAATTGTAACATTACAGACACGAGCGAAGTAGAATATAAATCACAAAACTCAAATAAAACCAGGAACCCCCAACAAAAGAGAGAAGGTGTGGATCATGCAACAGGGTAGGACGCCATGTTTGCGATGCGGCATAGGTTGACGCCGCGCTGTATCTTCATGTACCCTATATCACCCCATGTTTGGCCCAAGGAGTTATTGATTAGCCAGTAGTCGGTCCCCTCTTCAGTCGTTTCATAGCCGATAGCCGTGACAGCATGATTCATTTGGGTGCCACAATCTCCTGTGAATACCCCCTCAGAATAGTGCTTAAATTCGAACCCGCTAGCATCAATACCGACAGATACTGGCTGGTTAGCAACGGCACGAAACAATGAGTCCTCATCACCAGAAGGAATGTCTAGGTAATCAGTGATTGTGGCCGTTTTAGAGGATGATTTTTGGGCATCCCATGTGCCGTCCATTGCCTAGTATGGGTAGTCGGCCTCGCTGGCGAGGCCAGCATTATTTATGATGAACCGAAATGCCTCGTCCGTCCATCGAGCCGCCTTGACAACCTCGGTTGGTGCCACCAGTGATGCAGTCGACCAATTCTTGCTCAGACAAAGACACCGAGTTTCCAGTCTCGATCTTTGTTATGCTCTCGACTGCAGCCACAGTTTGAAACGCCCAACAACACCTGTGAACAAAGATATTATGTAGTCATTTATGTTAATGAAAATAAATAAATAAAAACAATAAACAACTTATTCGGATCTGTCCTTAAATCATACGAAAGACTTAACGTACCATACTAAAACCTATAGACCAAGTCATTCGGTGACAAGCTACCTTGAGAGTCTTCTTAGTGAATCACCTACACCAATTTTTCATCATTCTTTATCTTATATTACTTGAGGGGTTAACTTCTTTGTATAGAGAACCATCTTTTGTAACTCTCATATTCATGGTTTATAGGAGTTGAGATCTAAATATAACTTCTGCCTTAATTCTCTTCAGTGCAGCCAATTAGGATTAACAAGTTGGCACTAAATTGTTAATCCTATATAATGAGCTAAACGTGTCATTAGTGCACTAGTGACTCACATAAGCATTCCTACAATTTGATCAAAGATATTTAAGAATTAAATAATTTTGGTACATCAATAATAAATAATAATAATTCTTACAAAGAATCCAAACACATCATTGGGTTTTCCCTCCAGTGACATTGGGTTTTCCTTCGAGTGCAACATCCTATAAAAGCTCCAAAATAGATCCTAGTATATGGCATTGTCTCATGTCAACCACATGGGATTTCACATATACTATACAATATGGCTATTATACCATTATTCAAAAATAAATTCAGGGAATAAAAGGGCCTGATAGGCCATATTTCCAACTATTTATACTAAATAATGTCTGCATAAAGTAAGAAAGTTTGAAAAACAATACCACAATCTTGTTGATCCTTGATCGGAGTTACTACGCCTTCCTCCCTCCAATCCATGATATCATATGCTAGTGCCGGTGCCAATGCCGATACATTGGCATAAATGAAAGATCCCACCGGGGCCTTCTTACGAGTAGCAACATCTGCCCTCAAGCCCATGTACTGCTCCCGAAATTCATCCAGACTCAAGTCAGCGAACTTGTTGAGGCTCAGCTTGTAGGATCGCTTCTCTGCATTGCTAGACTCTATCAACCTGAGGTTTTCCTTGAAGACATTGAAGTGTTTCTCCTTCTCTTCGATGCTCTCGTATTCGACCACATGGTTTTCCATCCATCGGTCGAACCTTACGGACATTGTGGCTTCCTCTAGTTGGCGGGGTGCCACCAAGGGGAGCCAAAGCCCTACAAAGAACATGCCCACACATAGCACAGTTGAGAGCGAAAAAGCAAGCCGTGCCATGTTAACTAAGGGGCTGTTTGGATACCTAGAAATATATTACTGGCGTAATACATTACCTGTAAATGGATTGTTACTGTTTGGGTAGTATTTAGACGCAACCTAGGAAATACATTTTTATTGTTTAGCTATGTCGGGATGAAATATAGGAAAGGCAATACCAACATTTTACCGGCACATGTCTATAAACTATCATTTCTATCTTTTTTGTCACAAAATTCTATTAGAATGCAGAATTATCATTTCTTTCTTTTTTGTCACAAAATTCCACCAAAATGCAAAATTATCATTTCTTTCTTTTTTGTCACAAAATTCCACTAAAATACAGAACTAAAATCACCATCACACTATTCCAAAAATATTTCTAATAATAACATCATCACTATTCCAAAAACATTTTCTAATAATAACTTGTACCATTTTACAGTCATCATGACATCGTTTCCTACTTATTTTACATGCCTTTGACACTAATATGGAATCGTATGGTTTCTAACATGACATTGGTTTCAACATGATAAGTCATTGGAGCAATATGATTTGAATAACATGATTTTATTATGATAAGTCTTATTTTTATTTATTTATTATAGAAGTCTTTCAAATATCTATCTATATAATTTCAAATAAACAATAAATTTATGATACTAAATTCAAAATGTCTATGGTGCGAGTTAAAAAATGGGAAGAAGTTTGATTAGTAAAGTAGAAGGTTTGGTACTTTCAGTATAAAACTATTGGAAGATACTAAAGAGATATATTATTTAAATTGAGATTTTAGTAATTTCTTGTGAGGATTATGTTGTGTGAAATTTTTTATTATGATTGTGTTGTATAATTTATCATTGATTATTGATTTTTATTTTTATTATTTTTGTTTATATAGATGATGCCTTTAGGGGACGAGCAAAAAGAAGGGATCGCCTATGCTAGTTATTATGAAGTGAGAGGGCTTACGAGAAAATATTTTTTTACTCAGGAATAGGATAGACAAACACATAAACGATTTCTCAAAATTATCTGTCACTACAGGAATAGATTTTTCACCTATCAATGCGGCTAATGGATTTCTTGATTTTTGGATAAATCTCAGCCTAATCTCTTATCAGTTTCTTATGATTATGTGTGCTCAAAATAAAAATGTCATATTTGTTTATAATTTATTGTCATGTAATAGATTTTCAGATATCCACGGCTGTTAAAACTAGGAGAGATTGATTGATTGCATAGAGTATATATCGGAGATTGTGGGGATTGGAGTTGCATAGAGTATATATCGGAGATTGTGGGGATTGGAGTCCAAGTATATATAATGTGCCTTGAGACACGGCCGCGTCCCATACGCTTGAAATTGGAATAATCGGCCCGTGCCTCACGCTGTAAAGCGACACAAGAATCACAATCATTTTGTTTTGTGGATTTCGTTCTCCATCCTTTTTTGTGCCATTGAAGCTTCCAGGTTCATCGTGTTCAAACAAGCTTGCCCTGGGCTTGTCAACACGGTTACCGCATCGTGGATGTCGCCCTGATGGCTATCTGAGGGTGGCAATTGGGTCAGGTTGATTCGCCGACCCAACGGATCGATTTGAACTGGTTTCATGTGTTGGACACTTTGGGTCAGGTCCGCACAGGAGTTTAACGGGTTGGATCCAGGTCAAGCTTGATTCAACTTAAGCCTACCCAACCTTTGAGATATAATTTGTATCTAACATTTTGTATCGAAAATTCGTTTTTGAGATATATTTTTTATTTTTTAGGGAAACCGCACAAGAATGGTGTGAGTCGGCCGACTCACCAAACATATTTCTTTTATATAAATATAATTTATATAGGTAATATTAATTCTATACAATAAAATATTTACAATAAAATTTTGGTTTTTATATATGTAGCCGAACTCAACCCAACCCAAGCCAGTCGGTAGGATCCATGTCGGGGTTGACTTCAACCCGATTTAATCCATTTACACCCCAAAAATCCTTTTGAATTCCTTCGTTCCTATAACCAAAAGAAAAGAACTCTTTGGATATTTTTGCACGCATGGTTATCACACATGGATACATAAAATTAGCAGGAAAAACAAAAACACGTGTAAATTTAAACTATAAAAATTTTCACTACAAAGATCACAATTACTTTTAGCTTATAAAACAAGAAATCAAGTGACTTCCAAATTGTCTTTTTTTTAGGATAATTTATAAGACTATTCACTTAGATTTTTAGCACAATCAAGGGCACATCGCTAGCCGTATGAATTCAGATCTAACAGCTAGAGATGATGGATATCCTTGTTCAACAAAAATTGTCTTATTGTATACTTTCATGTAAATTAGTGTTTAGAGGACAAAAATGTAGAACATATTGGTTGATATCAAGCCCTAGATAATAAAGTCTATTGGACAAATGAACCCCATGGAACGTTAACTTAACCTGCAACTCATGAAAAAGAGTGATAAATGTCTTTGGAAAACGTTGGATGAGTGTTCGACACTGGCTCGCCCCAGTAACTCTCCGTATTACAAGTTTGGTGGTCAGGATATTAAAAAGATTATAAATAATAATAATAATAATAATAATAATAATAATAATTTGGTATATGTTTCCTTATATTTTCTATTATTTTGGCAAAAAGATTGGAAAGCACTTCAGCCGTGAATACTTATTTTTATATTTTTTTATTATTTCTAAAATATGCTAAGTCCCAAATTGATTTTTTTCCAAAGGTGTCTTTGTTTAATTTTACTATACACGTATTTTTTTTATTTTTTGTAATTTTTTTATTTTTTAATACTTTTTAGCCTGGTCAAACCCTAGGCAACTCAGGCTGAGTAATTCGGATCTTGGCCCTTGTTACTTGGCAACTCAGGTTGAGCCCATAGTCGAGTTCCGTTCCCAGTTCGTGGTTTCCATCTGTGCGTTGGATTGTACAAAAGGCAATGAGAGCATAGAAAATAGAGAGAGTGCAATGTCTTTTTTTTTTTGGTAAATTGAGAGAATTCCATGTTAACGAAGCGGGAAAAGCAGACACAACATATCAGTAACCCATGAAGCCAGCCCAGTTGTTCCGGAATGACCGTGGCCGGTTTTTGGTCGCTTAGGGTGGTCAACCGGCTAGACCAGCCTAACTTTAAAAAAATCATAAAAAAGTCAAAAAAGAAAAAAAAAAGTGTTCTAATGGGAAATATTCTCGTCATGAATACTCACTATTATATTTTTTTCCCATATCTTTTAGATTATTTTTAAAATACCTCTAGGTACAAATTATTTTTTTTAAATCCATTTTTCAATCCTTTTCTTATCTTATTTAACGTATTTTTTTTGAAATTTTCATATTTTAAAATGAAAAAAAAACACTTTACATCTTTTTTTTGTTAGGTCGGGACCTTCCCAGTTAGGGCCGGTTAGTTGGACCGGTTCTTGGTTACTCGGACCAATGTTCGCAAAATCAAACCGTAACGGTTAACTGGACATGGGCCTGGAAGCGGTTTAATCGGCCTAACCAGTAAATCGGCCGATTCAACGACTCGAACCGGGCAAGTCCCGGGCGGTCAAAGAAGTGTTGAAAAAAATACAAAAAAAAAAAAATCTACTAAAATATGAAAAGCATATAAAGAATGATTAAAACAAAACACACTCAAATGAAGTTGAAAATCAATGAAAAAAATAGATTTTAACTCATTTTATATTTTCTAAAGACTATTTTTTATATTTTCTAAAAATATGAGAAAATATTAAAGTGAGTATTAATGACCAAAACAACTTTTAATCTTTACCATAATGTAAATAATATTTAAACATGCATTACAAATCAAATTTCCTATTTTTGAGAATTTATATATATATATTTTATTTATTTTTTAAATACAGATCGGGCGATTTTGCGAATAATGACCCGGACCTAGCCCGGGCACGGGTTGTGGTTCGTGGTTTCTAACACTGCCCGTAACAGTAATGGGGGAAATCAAACAACTTCCGAGAAGGAGAGAAAATGCAGAAAGAGTGAGTGCCAAAAAGTTAGGAGAGAGTCCGAAAAGTTTCTCAAAAGTCGTCCAATTTGTGAGTTTATCTTCGGGCACCGTCTCCTACGTTTCCGCCACACAACACTCGCAACCACTTTTTTACAATTCTTTTTGTTAATGCATTTTACAACACTAATTATGTTTAGCGATGGACTTCTTTCTCCACTTTTTAGTCATTGAAGCTTCACAGTTCATATTGGGATGACCTTACTTCGCATTTGGAGGTCCCGTTTCATTGTTGCTTTGCGCGTTCTTTGCGGAGGGGGTCTGTCATTTATTTATGTTAAAAGATTTCTTTTCCGCGGGAGCATATGGTGCATTTGCTCCCTCAGCACTGCTCTAGTACGGAATAGGTTTTTTTGGCTAGCCCATAAACCTACGGATTCAACCCTTCTAATAAAAAACAGTGTTGAAATATATTAAAAAAAATATAAGAAAGATCTACTATAATATAAAAAGCATATAAAAAATGATGAAAACAAAACACATTCAAATGAAGTCGATAATTAATGGAAAAAATGGAATTTAAAGAATTGATTTATGCTTAGGGGTATGTTTAAAATTTACTAAAAATGATAGGAAAATATAAAACATAATCCTAATGACCAAACCATTTTTAATCTTTGCTATAATGTAAATAATATTTAAAAAATACATTACAAACCAAATTCCTTATTTTTGAGAATTTATATATATTTTTTTGAAATTTGTTTTTTAAATACTGGTTGATCACCAAAACCGCCCAAAATTAGAACCGGCTACTTTCGATCTAACCAGGCGGGTAGCAGTTAGATCGTCCATTTTTTCCAACAGTGAACCGGCTAGACCAACCTAACTTCAAAAATAAAAAATGAAAAATAAATTATAATTTTTTTAAAAAACATTTGTGCTAATTGGCTTTTTAATGATTTCTATTGCTTTGGAAAATATTGGGAAGTGTTTCAGCTATAAATACTCATTTTTATATTTTTTTCATCTTTATAA